CCGCAGCCTTCTCTTCTCCAGGCTGAACAAGCCCAACTCCCTCAGCCTGTCCTCATAGGAGAGGTGCTCCAGCCCCCGGATCATTTTTGTGGCCCTCCCCTGGCCCCGCTCCAACAGGTCCATGTCCTTCTTGTGCTGAGGGCTCCCGAGCTGGACGCAGGGCTCCAGGGGAGGTCTCCCCAGAGCAGAGCAGAGGGGCAGAATCTCCTCCCTCGACCTGCTGGCCACGCTTCTCCTGATGCAGCCCAGAGTACGGTTGGCCTTCTGGACCGCCACTGCCCATGGCCGGCTCATGTCCAGCTTTTCATCCACCAGTACCCCCAAGTCCCTCTGGGCAGGGCTGCTCTCCATCCTTTCTTCCCCCAGCCTGTATTGATACCGGGGGTTACCCCGACCCAGGTGCAGGACCTTGCACTTGGCCTTGTTGAACCTCATGAGGTTTATTTGCCCTAAAATAGAGCAACCCACCCAATGTGTGCTTGTTCCTCTGGTTTAGTTGCTGGCTTTCTGTGCACTCCGAAGGTTCTCTCCAGAGAGGTTTGCGTTTTATTGCTAATGGTTTTTCATACCTTACCCGTAGTGCAAACACCGGCCGATTTACGGGGTCAATCCATTTGATTTCTGGTGTTGGGAACAGGACAGGCCGCTTCTGGTTAAAATAACTCCCCTGGGGACCTGACTGGAGTTCAGGCAGGAATTATTTTGGATGGGGATACGAGTGTCAGGTTTTCGGTGGTGCTAATAATGTTTCTTAGGACTACAGACTTTTTCTCCCCCCAAAATTCAAGCTGTAAGTGGCAGGTGCTTGGGTATAGTCAGCTGAAGTTGCCTTAATTCACCCAAGAGGTGACTGTGACCTGGTGTTAGTCTGAAATAGGTTTTTATAGACCCTGCTAATGCTTCCTAGATAGTTCCCTGATAATTTTTTTTTTTTTTTTTTTTTTTTAACCTTTAACCAGACCTGTGGTCAGGAGGAGGATGGTCTCACGTTTTCCATTGCCTTTCAGGAGGCCCCCTGAATTCCACTGAACAGGCAAATCCTATGGACTGCCACTTCCCGAAGGGAGAAGAGGGGGAGGGCGTTGGAGAAAAATGGTTTGCTTAGAATAGGTTCCCATTTAGCATCTTCCACCAGGCTCTGAAGGTTGCTTTTACGCAGAAAGGTAGGATAGAATTTACGGTGCCTTCCCTAAGGCCACTGGGCATGACCAAAATACAAAGGCATACATTGTGCATAGGGGAAGAAACATTGGGATTCTGGCGTTCCTCAATTTATAAGGTGTATTTCTTATAGAGTGGGGAAATAAATGAATGGTTTTTAACCCTGCAAAGGTCACATACCCCAGCGGTACAACTGTATTTGCTGGAGAGGCAGGGGCTTTCTAGAAAATATATCCGCTGGACCCCTAATCTGGGGGGTTTATCCAGAGTTTCACCTCTGTCTAAACAGAAAGTACTTTTGAGGGGAAAGGGGTTTGATCAGCTGGGAGAAAGGTGGGATCTGCCTCCTGGAATGCTCGGGGAAAAGGGTCGGAGAGCTCTCATGTCCAGGATCTTTGCAACTGAATAACAAGAATCTGTCCTTGGAGCAGATACTGGGCATTAACCTGCGTCAGACCCTGGTCGATCACCCTGGGGTATAGTATGGTGTATTCCCATCTCCGTGCTTCTGTCTTAGGGCCCCTCACTGCTAGCGGCTGCTGCCCTCAGCACCAGGAGGACACGGACCTGTTGGAGTGGGGCCGGGGAGGGCTACTAAAATGCTCCGAGGGCTGGAGCCCCTCTGCTCTGAGGCCAGGCTGGGAGAGTTGGGGGTGTTCAGCCTGGAGAAGAGAAGGCTGCGGGCAGAGCTGAGTGCGGCCGGTCAGGGCTTCAAGGGGGCCCAGAGGAAAGGGGGGGACAAGCTTTTTAGTAGGGCCAGCTGGGACAGGACAAGGGGGGATGGCTTTAGGGCTGTGAGCAACCTGATGTGGTTGGAGATGTCCCTGCTCCTGCAGGGGGGTTGGGCTGGGTGACCTCTGGGGGTCCCTTCCAACCCAAAACATTCTGTGATTCTATGGTGGGGCTGCTGTAGCCCTGGGTCCAAGCAGGGGAAGGCTGGGTGCTTGTGTTCCCGCAGCGCCCGCCGCACGGGTCAACAGGCTCACAGACACCACCAGCATCAATCGCCCTGTCCCCTGGCTGGCTGGTGGGGATGGAGGTGAGGCACACACGTGTCCCTAACAGAGAGCCTTCACCCAGGAAAAGGCTTGAGAGATGTAGTCCCCAAATGCTGCATCCCATAATGTGCCCCATGCCTGACCCACTCACTTTGATGGGTGTCCCCTCCATCCGCGGAGCTGATGGCTCTCCTGGGGAGACCAGGGCAGGGTCTTCCTGGGGTTCCCCCACGAGCCATCGTGCTTCTCCGCTCCTCTGTGTGCATGGGGCTGAGCTTTTTCCTCGCATAACCTAACGACTCAACGTGTGGTTGCCAGCTTCTCCTCCGCTCTGTGATACGGTGCCCCAAATGGCTTTGGGGTCACTTGTACCCGGCTGGTCCTCGCCTGCATGGCAGAGCTCTGAGTAAGGAGCTGCTGCTCACCTCCGTGTTTCTCTGCTGCTCCGTTTCAAAAGGAAAATGATGCTTTTATGGTGACCTGGGTGCTAAGCTCCATGTTCCTTTGAGCAGGGCTGAGGTTCTTCGATACGTTATTTACAGTTAATGCACATTTCGGAGGGGAGGTGGGATGGAAACAGCCATTCTTCTTCCCACATCTGCCTTGCTTGCTTTCCCCAGACACTACCCCGCGCTCAAGACCCTGGAGCACCTCGAACACACGTACCTGCCCCGAGTGAGCCACTACCGCTTCTGCAAGATCATGGTGGATAATATTCCAAAGCTGCGTGAAGAGATCAAAGAAGTTTCGATGTCAGACCTCAAGGATTTCCTGGAGAGTATCCGTAAGCACTCCGACAAGATTGGGGAGACGGCAATGAAACAGGTAGGGCTTGTTCTGTGCGCACACGTGGCGGGGGCTCTTTTGGAAGAGGAGGGTGGTTCACGGTCGTGTTAAAGTTCTCCTTTTCCAATCCCAAGGCACTACACTTAGTTTTAAGCATTGAAGTAATTTTGTTACTAGGTGAAGCAACGATTCTTCATTCTGTGGTCGCCGCTAGTGGTTATCATCTGATTTTTGTACCGTTGAAAAGCGATACACCTTTTTTTGTCATCATTTTTCCTGTGTTTTGCCATAGGCTCTTGCTAGCCCACAGCCTGGGGGGCGCAGCGGGGTCTGTAACTCATCTTTTGCGCTTAGCAGGACAGGGGCATTTGTGCTGCTGTGCCTGCTGGCAACTGGAAGGCCTGGAGACACCAGTGCTGATTTCCCAGGTTCGGGTTAAAGCCATAGAAGTTCATGCACTGACTGCAACTTAATTTTTTTTTTTTTTTTTTTTATCTTAAAGTGATTTTCAAATACTGGGTAAACTTTCAGTGCGGCTCGCTTGCGTTTGCCTAGCAGTTGATGTCTGTAAAAGATGAACCTGATGAACTGAACATTCCCACACGCGTGTTAAAACGGAATTGCCTTTTCCTGCTCTTCTTCAATATTCTAGTTCTGAATTTCAATACAGTTTTTCTTATCTCAGCCGGGAGCATTGCTCGCAGTGGCTCTTAAAAAGAACTTCACTGCTCTGATGAAATTCAAACCTCAAGTAATGAAATGTTACCTCTCATGAGCAGTAAACTGCTTCCTCAGGTGGTGATTGAAGGATTGGACTTGCTGATTGATGGGAAGGATTCTTGCTATAATTTTTCATGAGATGATAAAATCGTGCTCTTAATGTTTATGGGTGGAGGTACAGGCAGGTTCGATTTTCTGTCTTACAAACACCATCCTTCCTGTAAAGTGCTCTAGCTTGAGGATTCCTAGTAATTAATTTAATGTACAGTATATCCGCTGCCCGACTGTCTTCTCAACCTCTTCCTACTGTTCTGGGAAAGCAAAGCAAGCCGTATAGTGTGTAACAGAGCTATGGAGAGGCGCCGTGCTGCGTCGGAGAGGTCAGCAAACTTCTGTGTTACCCCTTGCACCGAGTCAAACCAGCCCGTCGGAATCTGCAGAAACCACGCCGTGCCCTGGGCATCCTGTCGTGGGGCCGGATGCGCCCGGGGGTGATGGCTGGGAAGGCTGCGGGTGTTACTGTGCGGAATTTACCTGATGCAGCAGTTTCTAGAGTAGTGATCATTTGCAAAAAAACCCCTCTGGTTTTGTTCATTACGGTGGCCAAACTTTTTAAAAGATTCTTCCATGGTTCCTGTGGCTGGAAAGGAATAGGAGTTTTGTTTGTCCTTTGGTGCCCCATTAAAGCAGTGAATATGCTACTTTAAATAAATAAATACCTTCTTTATATCCTGTTGAGGCTATTTACCAATTATAGAGACATAAGAGGATGCAGCTGTTGCATGCTCCTCTTGTAGTTTCCCATTTTGTCGTGGTGATGCTGGGAGGGGAGTTTAAACCTCTGGGCACCGGGGCCGATTGCTTTGGGGGGGCGGGGAGAACCGGGGGGCGAGAGACGTGCACGTCCAACCCCGCGTCCTTGGCTGCTTCGGCAGACCAGTCTGAGAAATTCCCCATAATTTCAAATAGCTTCCTTTGCTGTCTTTTGACTAGAGGTATTTCTGTAGCTTTGTGCTTGCTGGCCCTTTCAAATCCAGGGTGCGCTTCTTCCCGTTCTTCACATCCCTCCCTCCTGTCCCTTCTGCTCCTGGGGAGAGCTCCCACGCCATCTGGGGCTCTGTTAATTCTCCA